AAACGTCCCATCAATAATGTTGTTGTGTTATCTGACATAATAAGCCCATGTACTTCAATAGATGTTACAGTAAAAACCCGCGTATAAGAACCTAAAATTTAAGAACCTGTTAGGCTAAAATCCTAAAACAGGTTCTTATTTTTAAAAAAAAGAAGAAAAAAATAGAATCAATCTTTCCAAAAATATATATTTATAACACAGTCTGTACACAGTAATGTTATAAACACTATAACTGTACATGGTTACCGTAAAGAACATGTCCTCATTGAATAAAAAAATCCAACTTAAAATGAAACTTTATTTCATTTCTTGAACAAAAGTTAAKAACCTAATTAAGAACCTAGTTAGCCTAATTTAACACTAAATACCATTTATATAAAAACCTGTTTAGGCTAACTTGAAAAAACCTAGGTTCTTATACGCGGGTTTTACTGTATTCTGAGTGCATAACCATCACATATTGTTGTATTATCTGACATAATAAGCCCATGTACTTTGATAGATGTTATTCTAAGTGCATAACCATCACGTATTGTTGTATTATCTGACATAATAAGCCCATGTACTTTGATAGATGTAGTGCATAATCATCACATATTGTTGTATTATCTGACATAGTAAGCCCATGTATCGTTGACAGATGTTATACTAAGTGCACCATCATCACATAAGTATTGACCAGGATACATACTAAAATGATTCACTGAAATCCCATTCTTCTGCCATCTTATTACATCATATTGCACCCTCGTCTCGCCACTCCGGTCACGCCTTCCCCATTCGTCAAAATTGTCTGGGCCACCCCATCCGTCACAGTTTCTTGCAAGCTCGGATGTGTCGTCGGGTAGGAGTTGGAAAGATATGCAAGCCTTTGCTGGCACTGGTGGTGACTCGGAAAAATATCTAGTAAAAAAATTTGAATTTTTTGATACATTGATCAATTGAACGATGCAAATGCCGCTATTATGCCAATGATTTATCGTTAGATTAAAAAGTCTCTACTTCTTTCTGAAAGCAGAACAAAATTTGATTCCCAACCCCACCGTTCGTCCTAACTTGTAGAATGGCAATGCCTGAATTTTTTTTCAATTGTTTTGAGAAAACGAGAGCTAGAGAGCTAGGTGATTTCGCTTCTCTCATCCAGAACAACTGAATTAGCCAATCAGCGAACATTTTGATTGTAACTCAATATTTCATAGTTCCAGTTTTTCAGCTCCATAAACAACAGCTCTTATTTCTATCTTTTGCAACATGCAACATGCAACATGCAACATGCAACATGCAACATGCATCATGCAACATGCAACATGTAACTTGCAACATGAAACATGCAACATGCAATGTGCAACAAAACCTTCACCAACCTTTTTTGAAANCATGCAACATGCAACATGCAACATACAACAGGCAACATGCAACATACAACATGCAATAAGACCTTCAACATCCGTATTTGAAATAGCTAAATAAGGCCCCGTCCACACGTATCCGGAAATTTTTGTATCCGCAATTTTTTTTTTACGGATACGGGTAGCGTCCACACGTGTCCGGAAATTTTTGTGACCGTATCCGCAAATTTTACGGAAACAGATAAGTGTGGACAGTGAAAACGATTCGAATGCGCTGCGTGTGGACGCAAACATTTACGTATCCGCAAAAAAAAATTTGCGGATACAAAAATTTCCGGATACGTGTGGACGGGGCCTAAGCCGTTCGCTCCAAAACATTACCGTTCTACTAACCTGATAACACTTTCTCCTGAGGCGGTCGCCTTTGTCATGATGTGAACTTTCCTATTAACCGATTTCTTATAACAAAACCACCGCATTTGATTGAAGCCCAGACGATTTCTTAGCTCTTTTAATGCTGCAGGCTGGATAACCAGTTTAGGATCGTCATACTGTGAAATACTTCGCCAATTTGTTGACAAAACGATTAAGGTGTTAGGTGTTTTGCTGGTCAGAACGGTCTTCTTGACCAGCGTCCATCCACCTGATTAAAAGATAAGATAACATCACTGACGGGAACAGGTTAAAGCTGTGCTGGTTAAAATGGGAAAAGCGAACAGTCCTTGGTAGCAAGGGTGGTCTAGATCTACGCTGCTTAGGCGTCATCCCCTCTCTACAATGCAAGGCTTGTGGTAAGCTGCCGCACGTTCCAATCCCGACCACGCAAGTATGTAAGTTGAGTTTGTGAATTATTGTTCTCTCCTATGATATATACAGTCCATGTATGACCCTAGAGCACAGCTCTAACCAGTTTGAATCAGTTGGGGTTAATTTGAGAGAAGGTAGGGAAAACCAGAAGACCCAAAAAACCCGGTCTGGTGTTCTGACTAAATTAGTAAAACGCTTTCAAAGATAAACAGAACGATGTAGTTAGAAATTTACGAGAATTTCACTTTGAAAAAAAGGATGGATACGCAAGATAAAGTGCTATTTTACGACCTTTTAAGGGGGGCACGCTTCTTTTAAATGAAGGGGGAGGGCTGGGGATTTGCTATAAACTTTTTAACATTGGGTGTGATCCTCCCCATTTTACTCAGTAAGGACATGATCCTCCTATTAAGTCAACAAGGAAACAGTTTCGTCAAACTGTAAAGAGGTTTGACCCTCAACAATTTTTTTACTGAAGACGCTCACCTCTGAAGCCCCAGCCCGACTCCCTTACCCGCAATAAAAAAGGTACCTGGCCTAAAAACTATGAACAATTTATTTAAAACAACAATGTAATTTTTCTCACCGCCGTCAGTAGTCATATCACAATAAACCAGGATCTCTGTGGATTCAGGAGTTTTGATTGTATATTCACCATCGCCATGTGATTCGCCTTTGTCCCTGATCTCCTTACACGAGGTTCGAAGTACCTGAGCTTTGCAAGATTCACCCCCAGCTGTGGAAAATAGTTATGCACTTATTGAATTCATCCGAACCAATAGTCCCCTCCACAATTCCCTGCGCCATCTTGAAAGGTAGCCTTGCCTTTGCATCGAAGCGAAACGAACGGTGAGCTTGCAATGTTAGGATAGAGACCTGTTTTTAAGACTTTGTATAAATATTCGCATGTCTCTTTCAGTGCAAGTTCACAGTTCGTCTCGCTATGAAGCAAAGGCACGGACGACTACCTTTCAAAATGGCACAGGGAACTGTGAAGGGGACTATTGTGGCAGAATATTGAGACTTAGTTATCTGTCATAATGAGAGAAGAAGATTCCTATAGGTGTTTTATTATATCGGACAAATATGGAGACTACTATAATGCCGGCATAACAATAATTTCATTTGCAGTCCGATAAGCTCAGTACTGCCCAAATAATGGGTCGCCACGTGACTAAAATACGGAGATGGGATTGGAGGATTATTTGTGAGGTATAATAACATAAAAATAAATAGATAGATAATAAAAAGCAGTTGGGATAAATAGAAAATAATTATCCTAACTAGTATCTCTCTGATTGAGGACGAATGCTTGAGAGAACAATCAGCTAGCACGCGCGCTTTCTATTTTCCCGTTTGTAACTAACAGAAGGTTTTTTTTTGAAAGAACATAAAAGTGGCCCCCAACGGTAACCGATCATGACTCCCCATTACCATCCCGCAACTAATGTATTGCCGATTGGCAGAACACAGATGTTGACACGTCTTGCTCCTCTTGACACTTCTTCCGTCCGGTGTTCTATCAATCATCTGCTTGCTTTATAAGTACTCAGTACATGCACGCGCCTTATCTATTTCTTCAATTCCATCAATGAAACATTTTTAGTTTCATCCTTTTACTTTGCGAGATACCTCGGAAAAACATATAATCGACCGGACTAGAACAGAACTATATTTTCCTTCAAACCATCGCTTACATGTATCGACGTTGACTCCACCCCGAACTTTGTCTTGCCTAATTCTATCCTTCTCCTCACGACATAAGAGTGTTATTTTCATTGATTAATCATAACATCCCCCTGCCAAGCAATTATCTGGACTTATTAGACCACTCAAACACGAAAAACAAAAACCATCAAATCATTTACTTCTCAGATCAATAGGAATAAGCCCGAAGCAAAATGTTATCATTTTTCGAATGGGATTATCTCGGCTAATTTTACTGGGAATTCTTTAATTGCGACTTTCCTGCTGTTAAATGTCTGCTCGTTTCCTTGTTTAGCTTCCGTTAATTGGGGGCTTTTTGCCTTCTGGCGATATAAAGCTTCATTCATAACACGTTAACTTATGACCTGCTTTTTATATACACTTATTTCAAAAAACGTTATCGGTCGGATAACTGAAATGGGCGACCTGAAACTAAACTGAATTTTTGTATTGTTACGTTTTCTGGCTAAAATACAAGACATCACATTTCTCACTTAAAGGGCATGCTTCATACTCCAATCTAAAAAGAAACTACGTTGTTTGTTGGCTGTGAATATATTTCATTCTGTAGCGTGTTACTTGGTTTTGGATTTCAGATTTCCGACCGACAAGGGTTTTTGAAATAGGTGTATAAGTAGAAAATACGTAATTATATCAATGTATATGATATACCAACTAGGAACTACGAAAGATAATAGATAATAGATAATAGATAATAGATAATAGATAATAGATAATAGATAATAGGCGTGTATGGATATTCATAAATTCATAAAATATAAAGTCGTC